TTTTGAGATGGAGTCTCGTGCTGTCACCCAGACTGGAGTGCAGTGGCATGATCTTGGCTCACTGCAATCTCTCTGCCTCCTGGGTTCAAGTGATTCTCGTGCCTCAGCCTCCTGAGTAGCAGGGACTACAGGCATGCACCACCATGCCCGGCTAATCTTTGTAGTTTTAGTAGAGATGGGCTTTTACCATGTTGGCCAGGCTGATCTTGAACTCCTGACCTCAGGTAATCCACCCAAAGTGCTGGGATTACAGGCGTGAGCCACTGCGCCCAGCCTATGTTATACTTGCACGTAACTTGCAGTGTGGTAGGTTTGTTTACCCCAGCATTACACAAACACCTGAATAGTAGGTTACACCATGGTGTTATGACGGCTGCTATGTCATTATGTGATAGGAATTTTTCATCGTCGTTATACTCCTGTGGGACTGCTGTTTTATATGCAGTCTATCATTGACTGAAACATCATTATACAGTGCGTGTCTGTATACAATTCAGTGGATTAAAATACCTTCACAGTGTTATACACCCAACACCACTGTCTAGTTCCAGAACTTTTCCGTCATCCTAAAAGGATACCCCATACTCATTAAGTCATCACTCCTCATCCTGTAACTTTTTTTTTTTCTGAGACAGAGTCTTGCTCTGTTGTCCTGGCTTGAGTGCAGTGGCGTTATCTTGGCCCACTGCAATCTCCTTCTCCTTGTTGCAAGTGGTTCTCCTGCCCCAGCCTCCCAAGTAGCTGGGCTTACAGGCACCACCACCACACACAGATAATTTTTGTATTCTTAGTAGAGACAGGGTTTCACCATGTTGGCCAGGCTGGTCTCGAGCTCCTGACCTCTGGTGATCCGCCCACCTCAGTCCCCTAAAATGCTAGGATTATAGGCGTGAGCCGCTGCACCTGGCCCTGAAACTGCTTTTGATTGAATCCTGAAACAATTTAGTTGACATTGCTCTGAAATATTCAGCAAAATATTTAGTATTTGCTACAGTAGGCATTGTGAGAATATTGAACACTTATTTGAAATAACATTTCTGTAATATAAAAATTTCTAATTTCAGGAAAATGGACATTTTAGAGCTGCAAGGCATCTTATGTAACATCCAGTTCAGCCTACCCCTATTTTAGATGAGACAAACTGAGGCCTAGAGAAGGAAAGTAGCATGGCCAATGTTAAGGAGCAGGTTACTGTCAGAGCCAGGACCAGAATTCAGTTCTTGGACATCCAGGGTTCTTTCCGCTATCCCATGCTTCTAGAATCAGAAAGTGCAATTAGTTAGATATTTTGTTTGATTAACCGTTTTGTATTTTTGTTTGATCAGTAAATGAATTAAGGTTTATATCTGAGACTACATGACAAGCCACACTGTGTGCCTGTAGACGGAGCATCTGTATACTTTCTGAAAGATACCGCTTTGGGGTATGAGAAAGGAGGGTAATTCAGTTATTCAGATGTCAGCCATTTGCCCTGTTTAGGTCACAGAGTTTCTCATTGTCAGCTTTGTAATGTAAAGTGTCTTGCAAATGTAATAGGTCATTTAGAACAATCTTTAAAGATACTTTCAGAAAGAAGCAACTTGAGTA